GAATATCTCTTTGGATTTGAGACTTTAGTCTTTGCAACTTTACAGATCTTCTTTATGCACCAAGAGCTTGTAACATTTAAAAAAGAAAGGCAAAATTGAAATCGCATCATATGACCCCTTTAAGCTTTAATTGGGGGAAAAGAAAATAAAGCCTCAACGTTAGCCTTGTACCAGATAGCTCGTCTTAGTCACATGACCTAATAGCCCACACATGCTCGTAATCTGTTTATGCAGCGCATGACCCGTCCTCCCCCTCTCTTCTGCCCTCCCATCCCATCTGCCTTTCAGCTGATGATACATGTGGCAGAATAGTCTTGGGGAGCATTGCTATAGCAACCGCAAACAGAAAAGCACTTCAGAGCAATCTCAAAGAGGAAATGTGACCTGGGCCATTACACATCTACAAGCCCTACAAGACAACCGGATCACTTCTAAAGGTAAGGAGATTGAGCAAATGAGGAACGAATAAAGAGGAGATAGCAAAAGAGAATGGGGGAGGAGTGGGTGGATGGACAACAATATTGAGAAAAACACAAGACTAACAAATTCAGCACGTTTTGAGAAGTCAAACTTTGTATTTTGAGAATCACCGGCAGTGATTTAAACAGGTGGACATTGAGCATATTACTTTTAGTAATGTTCGTCAGTACAGTGTTCAAGGCAAAATAGTCTCTTCTTGATGGATCAAATCATACATTTGCTTAATAACATTACTGCTTTGGTCAAATTTTAAGTAGTGAAATGGCTATTGTCTCTAAATGAATGTATCTAAAATATTGGACATATTCTGAAATTATAAGTGTTGCACTTTAATTCTGATGGTCTTCCATTTGAGGCAGGTTTATGGATGGCATGTGTTTTAGTGCAGAAAAAGCTTGACTTTCTTTGAATGGACAAACAATGAGACATTTCTCAAAATATCTTTTTTTGTGTTCAAAAGAAAGTCAGTCATATAGTTTTTGAAAAAACATTTCATTTTTGGGTCAACTATCTATCTATTTTAACTGTTCTTTATTCCGTATACTCATTGTCACAGGACAGTGAACCCAAATGTGACATTCAAATGAGTAATTTAAGAAATGATGCTCTTTTTTTTTAGCAAAGTGGTTCTGGACTGGTGGACCATGACCCAAAAATGGTCTGATACAAAAAATTAAATTAAATACATTAGTAAATAAATAAATCTAATTTGTTAGTAAAACAATGGTTATTAAAGTACATTTTACAAGAAAATATATGTAAAGTCATTTCAAAATTTCATGTTTAATTCAATATGTTACAGTCTGTTTCTTTGGAATTATTTGTGAAATTTACTAGAGACCGGTTTAGAGTAAAAATAATTGAAAACCTAAACCTGTGTGTGTGTGTGGGTGTGTGTGTGTATGTGTGTGTGTGTGTGTGTGTGTGTGTGTGCGTGCGTGCGTGCGTGTGTGTGTAGTGGCATGGTTAAATGCAACTAATAAAATGCAACTAACTTGTCTGCAGGTAGAACAGAAACTAAATAGGCTTTTCAACTTTTAAAAGTGAGAAACACTTTTAGGTTGTCCGTCAGTATTTTGGCGTAAAATCACTTTGTGGAATCTAGCCAAATAGATACCATGGACAGGTTGTGTGACATGCCCTCGTCCTTGAAAACCATAAACAAAATATGCAAAGTGAAAAAAATGACTCAGGCTATCTATATTATATTATACAGGCTCCCAAGAGCATGAAAATAATTAAAATTCAAGAGATACTTGTTCCATTTTTCTTTATCATATTAACAATTTTGAATTTTGAGTTAGATCGTAGATACATGGTAATATCAATGAATTTCAGTGCTTGAATTTAAGGATGTATGTTTACTTTTGTATGATAAGCAGTTATGGTTACCATGTTTGGTCAAAATATAGGTCAGCGTCCTTCACAAATTCACATCAGAGCAGATTCCGTGTTGGAAATGAGCCGAGAGCGCAGTGCTGTGATGTCTGTCAGGTTTGAATTAAAATTATAATTTGCACTCAATACGTTATTACTGCATACTGTTTTATAATAATGCTGAGGTGCAGATGATTGCCATATTTGCAATAAGTAGTATAAATAGCAGAAAATCCTGCTATTTTAACATAGTGTAAATAGAATCCATTGCTATTTGCACTTAGTGTAAATAGTATCTATTGCTAAGAAAATATGCTATTTTCACTTAGTGTAAATAGCCTCTATCGCTATTTACAATTAGTGCAAATAGCCGCTGCCTTTTTTTTTCCCTGTGAAACACAGTCTATAAGATATTTTAAAGAACACTTTTAAAAATAAAAGTTCTTTATTGGCATCTACAGTATATGGTACCACGAAGAACCTTAAACATCCATGGAACATTTTCATTGTACAAAATGTTCTTTATAATCTAAAAAACCTATAAAGGTTCATTAGATTAGGAAAATGTTCTTTACACTAAGTGGTTCTTTTAGGAAATGTTTGGTTCTTCTATGGGACTGCTGCAAGTGAATATTGGTCACCAAACCATTTCGGGTTCCATTGGATCCATAGTACTCAAATACCATGGAAGTCAATAGGACCCAAAAACTGTTGGCAGATGATCACAGAATTTTGTGCACAAGCACTTTATGCCAAATTTCAAGGTGAAATGAATAAGAAAAGGCATTCAATCTACAAAAACAAATCCCAAGACCCATCATCCATTGCACACCCAACATTTGTTTAAATTGCTTTTTGTTTTGCGCATCTATGATGGCTTTTACTGCATCTCTAACAGGTCAAATTTAAGGTGAGCAGCAGAGGGCCGGTGACAGCAGCGAGCATGTCGTGGTTCAGCTGGAACGAGCCGTACTATCGGAGCCCAAGACGTGAGCCATCTGAAGTGGTTACGGACACCCTGATGCTGGAGCTGAGCTGGCAGATGAAGGAGGCCGAGAGACAGCAGCGGGAGCGAGACAATGAGTATCGGAGGCTTAAGAGCGGCGTGGACTACAGCTGGCTCATGAGCACCCCACGCAGCTCATTTGACATCAGCCAAGGAGAGAGACTCGGCCTTGAGGACCTGTGTAGCAAAGTGCCACCATCATACTGCGGATCTGTAATACAAAGGTAAGACATTCGTTGGGTGCTCCTCATTGCACGTTTTGTTTTCAGCATGAGGATGTTCGTCACCACAGGTTCAGGAGAGGCCGATCTGGGTAATTAGTTTACTAAGCCGTCTTTGTGATGTCACTACTAAGAAACACACAAACACAGCCATGTTTTTTCTGTAGGTGAACTAAGCAGCTCTAACCTGCTGAAGTGATAATTGTAAATCGCACACATGCCTCACGGGATGCACACCTGACAGATTCAGCCCAAACAGATGCTGTTCATTTTTGTTCAGGTAGCAACTGCATAGCAACTGATCTGTTCAGCCCCCTCATGATAACCAACACCAGTTCACCCCAAATTTTCTATCATATACTGACCCTCATGTTGTTGCAAAACTATATATTTTTTTTTCTTCTGTGTAACATAAAAGAAGATAATTTGATATTTTTTTCCTTCCAATGGAATTCATTGGTAATGGTTTGGTTACCAACACACTTATATAAATATATTTGTTTTCTTCAGAAGAAAGATATGTATGTTTGTAATGACATGATGGTGAGTAAATAATCCCATAATTTTCATTTTTTGGGTGAAATATTATTACTTACTCATTATTTACTTATCTTCATGTCATTACAAACTGTATGCTGTTATTTTTTATCCTATGGAACACACACACACTCACACAAAATAAAGAAATTTCACACATATTTTTGCCCATTCAATAACAATTCTTAGGAATCATGGGCTGCCAAGCATTAAAAAGGAAAGAAAGATATTATGAAAGCACTGTATTCTGTGTTTTTTATTCCAAGTTTTCCAAGAAAATACAGCATGTTTGCGTGAGGAACAGTCTGAAATATATAGTAATTTCAGTCGGTTCCTCATAGGGTTAATTTAGTTAAGTAAAACTAAAAAAAAAAAAAAAAAAATATATATATATATATATATACTAAAATAACTAAAAATAAAGAAAAAATAATACAACTATAGGCACATAAAACTACTTCTAAAAATGACAAAAACACACCAACATTACTAAAATTTTAGCTAAAATTCAAATGAAAATATAAAAATAAAATCTGATTGAAAATATACAATTATAACAGTATCTAAGTGATACCAAAATAGCACTGATTCCTCAGTAAAATTACTGTATGGCTTCAAACAACTTGGAATCTACTGCACAAATTACATGATCTACTTTTATGGTGCTTTTTTGTACTTTGTGGTGTTTGTCTGCCTGTGGTCACTGAACTGAAGATTTTTGATGTGTGTGTTTCACAGAGAAAAATTTTGGAACAACTTGGCAGTGAGTATACTGACAGAATTTTTGAGTGAAATTCTTACATCTTTGTCAGAGAGAATCTTTTTTTGAAAGAAGAGATGAAGGATGATCTAGTCCATGAGGACTAGTTAAAAAAGTGAGAGTTTTGAGAGGATTGTATTGATTAAACAAAGAAGAAGGAAGATTTAGAAAACACTGATTTGTTGATTTAATTGGAAAGATAAGAACCTAGCTTGGTAACCTATTTTAAGACTCCCTAAGAACATCGTCTGTGGAGCAAGAGCGCATGGGTCCCGAGAGGCTGCTTTTACTCTGATGAGTCAAGTGCTTATGTTCTGCTCTCATAGGGACCACAGGCCACAGTTCACCTGGGAAAGAGAGGCGGATGTTTTTGTGTTGTGTAAAATCTTTTTAAATGGGTGATTAAAACAGACACACAACCAAAAAAGCTGTCTGAAAATGACTGTTGAATGCTGGTGTTATTAGTAATCATTAATTTTTCCTTGAGGTCCACTTAGCCTACACATGACAATTTTCCACTTTTTAAAGGGTTAGTTCACCCAAAAATGAAAATTAGCCCATAAATTACTCACCCTCAAGTCATCCTAGGTGTATATGACTTTCTTCTTTCCGACGAATCCAGTCGGAGTTATATTAAAAATGGTCTTTGATCTTTCAAGCTGTTTAATGCCACTCAGCGGGTGTTGCATGCATCAGTCCAAAAGAAGTTAAATAAAAAGCGCCCATCCATAAAAAAAAGTGTCTCACACGGCTCCGGGGGGTGAACAAAGGCCTTCTGTAGCGAATCGATGCATTTTTGTAAGAAAAATATCCATATTCAAAATGTAATAATCACTTTAA